GAGCAACTCCACGCCATCGTTTTCCCTCCTGACTGACTTGACCCTGGCATTTGGGAAAACCCCTCCCGGGAGCACAAGGCCATTCAGCGCTTCTTGTTTACAGCAGCCCTCGTTTTGCGGGCAGTTAGCCAGACGGAAAGATTTATCCTTTTTCCTGCTCTAGGCTTTCAATGATCAAAAAGAATAACGAGAGCTTGCTTGAGATCAAGAGCTCCGAATGCCCTGTCCTCATTAGCTTGCTCATTCACCTGTTGTATTTCTTTCTAGCCAGTACCCTGACATGTGCAATAGAGATGATCTTTCCATCTGACTTTTCTTGATAGACTTTGCACATTTGTGAAGAATTCCTTGCTCCCAATAAATCCATGCCTGTGACTGGGAGATCTAGGGTCTCTCTGAACCCGTGACACCAGCCCAGCACAGCTCGCCTTCCTGCTTTCTCCAGACACCCGGCACAAGAAGGCGTTTAGAAGCAGCAGCTGCCCCTCTCACGGAAGGAGCTGGTTACTCAGTCCACACCCTCATTTGACAGAAAAGGATGTTGGAGATGAAAGCACCAAGCACCCTCATTATTAAAATTCAACTTTAACATGACCATTAACCTGCACTGAATTTAACAATGAAAGCCTTTATCTGGAGATGCCCCACATCAGCACTGCAGACTCCCACCAGGAACGCCTTAGGACATGAAGGCTTCCTGCAAAGCCGAGTCCTGTGCAGACGTCTCAGCGCAGCCTGCTCCGCTCAGGAGCCAGGAGAGCTGAGGGCAGGAGACCTTGCGTGCCACTGGGCACTGTTCTTGGGGCTTCACGCACAGCCAAGGGCCATTTCTTCCTCCAGCAGAGACCAGGAAGCTCCTAACGAACAGCAGGTAACTCGCTGAGGGAGTTGGCTTCCTTCAGACTGCTTCCAGGATGCGTCAGACCAATCCTGAGAGCAGCTGAAGGCTTGTTCCGCCACGTCAGACACCCTGCCTTTCTCACACCGGGCGCTACGAGGGCTTACCTCTATGCAGCACCAGTGCCAAAGCTGCGGGCAACCAGCCAGTGTGTTTTTGGGGGCAGCACTGAACTGGATCAACTGGCAACAGCTGCTGAAGCAGCGAGATCTCACCATCATATCGAGAAGAATTTACCGCAGCGTGCAGAAGCACCACAGTTAATAAATAGATATATCAAGTAGTGGAGTCATGAGAGAAGCAGAGAAATCTTCTTTGACGAAAGATGAAGGTGGCTCAGAAACCAGAGGCACTGGTTCCTCCTGCCCTCACGTCACACTCGGGCAGGCCGGGGACCACCAACAGCGTCTCCATGGGCAGAGTCAGGAGATCAGAAACACTTCCTAGTTAGTGCTGTGCTTCAGAGCGGGCTGTATGACACATACAAGCATCTCTTTCTTCTTCCGAGTATTCTACAGTTCAGCACGTTTAGGAAACGCACCGTGCACACTGCAGCTAGCCATGCTAAGAAGAGAATACACCCTACCCACTGCTGTGTGCGCTCACAAGTGTGTCTCTATTTGTAAAGCTTAGCTAAAAATTGTCTTTAAGTGCATGGACATAGCAATCAATATAAATTATATATGAATCATGCGTAACAATCCACCTCAAACAATACAGTTATCAGGACTCACTTCCCAAGTTCAGACTTGTTTTTAGAGTACTACAAAGTAGACACGAAGTACCAGCGTTAGAAAAACCAAGCTGCACGTTCCTCAACTCTCTTGTCTTTTCAAGCTACGTAATTCTGAAAGGACCACGGAGAAGGAGCAGGAGCCCATGGTCCCAGGAACACCTCCGCTCTTGGGTGCTGCCTGTTCTCATTTGGATGCTGGCTGATTAACACGCACACTTGCTCTCCTCGTTTGAAAGCACGCTTCAGAATGGCTTAGCGCTGACTAAAGAACAAACCATTTTAGCACACACAGCATTAGCAAGTGTTTATAAAGATGCACCAGGAAAGGTGCTCTGGAGTGCACCAACAAAACCAACGTCCCTTGAGTTTCAGCTGCCAGCAGACCTATCTTAGCAGCTTCATGCCAGTGTCTGATACAAGAACCAGCAGAAGACGGTCAACACCTCAGATCTTTCAGTTGAAAAAAACAGCAGAGGGATTTTCCAAACACTTAATTCTGCTTGATGTCAGAAAAAGCAGGTTTTATCTGCAACGCATGCGGTCAGGCTTCAGCATCCTGGCAAAACACTCAGGTTAAATCAATCGCCCAAGATGAAACTGTACAAGGTTTGACAGATAACCGGTGTAGATACGCAGGGAAGACACAGCCACAGACGTCCCACATCTCCCCCAGTTGAGAAAGACAAGAGTAGCACGTAAGGGAATTGCAAAGCAGTCCCAACAGATCGGTAGGGAACATGTGGATCAGGTTTCTTGGAAAAAATGAGGCCTCTCTACTTTGCCCTTGGGAGTCAGCCACCAGTCTAGCCAGGGATCCACAGAGCAGTGAGCCAGCCAGGTAAACTCCACTCCAGCAAACACCGAACCTCCTGAGACACGAGTGACAAACTCGGCTAGACCAGCCTTGGTTCACTTACTCTGGATACCTGTGCGGCAACAGACAATCACGAGCTCCACTACAGTCTCCAGAATCCATGTTTAGAGATTCAGAAGAGAATGTATATCGCAGGAAAATCCCCCCCACATACTTGGAAGAAATCCAGAAAGAGGAGAGAGAACACTCCTGATGGAGGTCCTAGAATCAAAATTAGAGCACTTAAGCTAGGCCCAGAAATAGGAACTAAAGGGAATCCTATCTCATTTTGCAAGGTACTTACCGCTTCAGAGAAGATAAAGCTCGAAACATCTCCCTCTCCAATGGAAACATGCATGAGACACTAGGCCCAGACTCATCTATGACGGAGAAACTGTGAAAGACACTACTAGAAAAAACAAAATCTAAGTTCAGTTCTTGCTCCTGCTTCAGCGTGCGGCAGAATAACACGGAGCACACACTGAGCTCCCTGCGACGTCATTATGAGTACCAATGCAAAAGTCGTCGACCAAAACTAAGCATGGGGCACATCGTAGACTTGGAACAATTTGAACCAGGAAAGCCAAGCCAGGTCTGGGCAAGTCCAAAAGATTTCATGAACCCTCCTAGCTAAAGCAGGCAGGAAGATGGCTCTATTTTTATGCCAAGAGTACTTTTTATTTAACATTTATTGCTTTAGTCTTCCTCCATGTTGTAACCTTATATATATTCAAACAATAATGGAACAGAAGGATGTCAAATCCTTACCTGTTTGGAAGTAAGATGCAGAAACTAAAAGTCAGAAGTTAAAAGACTTCCCAGAGAAGGCTTCTTGCTGCTGCATTAACTTCCATTTTCCATCCTGGTTTAAAAAACAACACAGACGCTTTTATAATGAAATTTGAAGCACTTACACTACCCTGGAGAAAGCACTATTTATTCTGAGACATTCAGAAGCGATTTTTTTTAAAAGGGTATTAATAGAGCCACCACTTATATACAATAAATACTTCCTGATGTAACTGTGTAAGATGTATGTCAGAAAACAAAACAACCTCCAAGGAAACCAAAGCCAATTCGAACAGAAAGAAAAGTTTACAATGAACAATGGTAATAACCTGATTCACCTTCCTCATAAGTCTTTCATAATTCCTCCGTGGATTTCACACAACAAATGAACGTCACAGCTTCCAGAGGAGTATGCAGATGAATAAATCTGTTTGCAAGAGGTAAGTAAAAGGCTTAACAGGAGCAAAAAGGTGGGTTTCGCTCACGAGCACGGCCATGCTGGGTTGCATTTACAATGATACGAGGAGATTGTCTCAACTACCCCGTGTTGTCTTCTCAGCTGCACCTCACTGAACCAGGGGAATGCTTGCTTAATTAATAATAATGTTAATAATGGGAGTTAAGCCAAGGCCTTACACTTTTACTTAAGTGGAATGATCTTGCTATAAAAGCTAGTACGAGGCTTGCACTCAACCAATGGTTTAACTGGCCGAGGCAGCACGATTCATCCGCTTCACCAGGAAACACGGGCACAGGTGCGACGAGGCGACAAGCCTTGCTCATCGAGCCACGTTCACATCGTGCTCTTGCTCGAGTAAAACGCCTTCACGAGAAGTCCTGAGGGTTAAATCCACTGCCCTTTGACACCAACTGACACCACTCTTCCTGCATTTCAGGTGGCTCTGAGCTGTGGCTCTGCGTCTATTCAGTACAAGCCACACAGAGCAAGCTTACTTCAGCCTAACTCCTGCTCAAGAAGCTGTAGGAACTCAAACCTCTACAGCGGTATGAGACTCCAGTCCATCTCACAAATGCATTAAAATACCTTTCAGTAAAGATTGGGAAATGCCACTGCATGCCAGTCAAACTTGATTAAAGAGGTTGGCTCATTCAGAAGAGCTCTCCAAGGATGGCAGCAAACCTTTGCAAGCCCATGCCAGCAGTGTAAAGTGTTGGTAAGAGCCCACGAAAGGTGTGTGTGCGTGTGTGTGTGCGCTCCCATACACCCAATCAAAAAAAAAGCCCACAACAAAACACACCTTGAAAGCTTTCCCTTTCAAGTTCAGGATTCCTTGTACAAGAAATAAAGTCAGTGGGAGAGAAGGAAGGCCAACATATTAGAAAACGTTGCTGAACTGCACACAATAGGGCTGAACTGCGGGTTCAACTAATTCGCTGCCAGCACCTCCTTCAATTTTCATGGCCCTGCAGCCCATGAATTCAACTCGCTAGCACGGGACAAATAGGAAAGGACAAAAGGCTTATTCCTTATCAGCATCAAAGTCATGTAAGCCCACACACTGCTCTCCTGTATCTGGAATTTCTGCTTGGCTTGCAATCCACGCGTTGAAATGAACAGTCTTGTTTCCAAAGCTGCTTGTTCAGTAACAGCTCAGAGAGCGGCAAGACGACAGCTGCCTACCTTAAAGCTAACGTACAAAACATTTTTGGTCAAGCTGATCTGGAAGTAATTCTGAAGAAGAAACAACTTAGAAACCAACTGGATTCCATCATTTATAAAGGACAAAGAAAAGGGCAACCATAATTACCAATTCCACCTGTTATCCTGTGGGTTCTGCCCCCTTATTTTTCACATACCCGACTCATTTCTAACAATCTGCAACGAGGGTCACTGAAATTCGCTGCAGAAAATGCAGGAGAGCAAGCAATAAGGGCAATGCCATTATACATACATGGTTGGTTCGTCTGTTTTTTATTTCTGTACGCAATGTAATGTTTAGGCACGTTGCTTGGGATGCCTTCTAAAAGAAATCATTGGCCACTGTTGAGAGTATCCTTTTGGCTTTAAATACTGGTCAGGAAAACAAATGATGTAAAAAATAAATGAATAGAACTATTACAGAAACAAAAAGAGGATTTGCATCTAAAAGTGCAGAAGGTGAAGTACTTTAACCCTTTCACCAGACAATGTGGCAATATACAGAATATTGCTTCTGTTTGTTTGAGAAGGCTGTTGGAATTTTACACTGACATAGAAAATTATAAATTACACAGAATTAGTCTCCATAATCACTATATATATATACACAAACCAGCTGCGAAAAAACTGGTTTAGAACATAAAAATGAAAGCCTCACACAGATCAGTACAGTGAAAGTAACAATTAACATGCTCTGCTGCCAAAATCGGTATTAAAAACACTATATACTTTTAAAATGCGTGTACTGTAATTCCATCAGCAGCACGGGCATTTCATTTACTTGACTTGTCTAAAAGGATTATAGCGTTTGAAATACGCAGATTGTTCTGAAATGTTCCATCGGATAATGCTCGGCGTTAAAGTAAATCTCGGTGAACGGGTTAAAAGGCAGGTGAATCACTTAAACACAGCAACCCATGTGCACTTCAAAGATTCTCGTGTTTCACCTGGAAGGTATTGTTTCAAGCAAACAAGACTTAACAGAACATATGGCTTTACAGTAACATCAATTTGTCAACTAAGTTGTAGCAATAAATACTTAAAATCTCTACCAATAGACTTACATTTTTGATCTGTTTTAAACAATACAGAAAACAATTACCAATTAAAAAACCTGTTGTAAAATGTTGAAACACCAAAAATTCTTATTTAAATCACTTTTGTCAGCTAAAACAACCAAAATAACATTTATAGGGCGTTTCGGTTTCAGAAGAAACATGAATTCATTTTTTTTCTTTTCTTTTTACAAGGTGAAAAATGTATGAAAACTGCTAAATACTTTGGTCACACTAATTGTCAAATAGTTATGTCTCAAATACATTAGATTTGTGTATTCACTTTTTTATAAAACTATTCTTACAGCCATTTGAACTATAGTAGCACTACTGTCATCATTACACGGGTAGCAGGATCTTATTTCACAGGCCACCCATTCTTTAGAACAATACAATATAAACATACGCAAAAATTATTGGTATTTCTCAATGTGCAATATTTTTACACTTATTAATTTCTGTACAATGTCTTAAAATCTAGAATATAAAGGTTGCTGGTCCTGATCCCTTGCGAAATTAGTGCAGCAGTGACTGGCTTCGACAGGGGCTAGACGAAATCCTCGAGAAACACTCCAACACCCAGGTATCAGTTCATTTTCTTCAGCCAAGGTAGGAGACACAACGTATCATACAGGGCCATTAACAGACGCCTCTCCTAAATGGGTGTGGTCAGTCCTAAAAGGCCAACAACAACAGGAAAAAAAAGATGTAAGTATATAAGAAACGAGCAGTCCCAAACAAGTTTGAGTAGGTGCAACTCCCACCCCTAAAAACCAACCCCAACCTAATAGCCCCAGATCACGTGTGGCCTGACCCGAGTTGGAGAAGAAGCTGAAAAGGCTCATCCCATTTGGGGTTTGGAGGCCAGCGTTACCGGAGTCCTTACTGCCTTAATTAAAGTAGCACTTTAATTAACTAAGCACATCACTGAAGAATGTTTGATCTTTATTAACTGAGATACTGCATCTAGAGATCGCTTAGTATCTCCCCCCAAGAAAATCACTAACGTAGAGCACATCTCTGATACTTCTCCAAATCTTATTGGGCGAGACACGTGATACGCGAGGAGGATTTAAGGTTGCATTTGAGAGTAAGCTGCTGGAGACACAGCATGAAGAACAAGTGTCTTAAAAAATTTTTTTTTTTTAAAAAAAAAAATCAAACTGCTTTGGTTACTAATCTAACATACAAACTGCCATTTCACAAATACCTTGAATGTTAACCCGCTAGTTCAGGAAGTGTGGGGGAAAATAAGGAGCAAATCTGCCACACGGGAAGCAATAACAGTCCATACACTCGTAGGTAAGAAGTTCACTGCAAAGGTGGGCTCAAAAGCTCCAGATTGACACAGAGGTAGAATCCAGAGTGTGCGAGAACATGAAGAATCGCAAGTACCAAAGGCAAAAAAACCCAACTCAACTTTCATTCTGGGCAAGCCTGTCAACGACATTTGAGGATTCCCCTGAAGAACGTCAATAGCCTTGGGAAGCACCCGTGGGCCCGTTACCTGAAGCGCTGTTCTCTGAGGGTGTCCATCACAGAGAAGTCACTCCTGGGTCCGTGCTCTACATGCACATGACCAGCAGGAGTCCCCTAGCTAAGTCCTTGGCTGCTAAGCTCTAAAAACACTTTTTAAAAACCCCACACGTACATATTAGACAAGACGACACGACAGCATTAGACAGAAGCAAACACTTTTTAGAGAACCCTGGAAGGAAAGGAAGGAGCGCTGCAGGGCAGGCAGGTGACAGCCGCACGGCAGTGAGTCCGTCTGTGGGTGGAACAAAGTCTGTGAGACCAGGGCTCTCCCTGCTCCTGGCCACCAGCCAAAGGCCTACCCAGGGGACTCCTCCACTAGTCACACATGCATGGAGCCCCAAAAGCACAATCAGCTTTAGCTTGACATTTATACCACACTTCGATGAGGATCTGCTGTGACAGGCACCTTTAGAGAAAGTACCGAGCTTTGCTGAGCTCCTCCGGCTCCCTGCAACTCCGAGCCATCCCAGGAGCTGCTGGCTCCGAGAGCCCCCCGGTGGTTCACGCCAGCATCTTCACTCGAAAGGCCTGGCACCCAAAGCCTTCTTCCCTACAACTCCCTGCTCAGCAGCATTTACGAAAAATAAAAAATATCTTGTCTTGACAAAAACAGGTAAAGAAGGTAAAGAAGAGGCCCTGAAAGACAGTATCCGGGTTGCCCGCTTTACTTAAGTATACAGGGTCGTGGGGTTTTCTTACTACAATCTGCTTCTTGAGTAAATTCATGGGATTTATGCAGGGCAGGAAGGGCTGGCTTACAGGAGAAGGCAGCACTGGTTTAGTCTTAACAGCCAGTACTGCAGAGGGAAGACGTACCAGCTCACAAACAAGTCTCAAAACCAGAATCTAAGCTTGTCCAACACGTTTGCATCCTTCTTCGTGTGCACAGAGTACAATCAAAACACGCAGGAGAGTTCTGTGTTCTAGGCAGAGCTGTGCTCTAAACCTTTGCTTACAAAAAGCATTTCAGTTTTGCCATCGCTAGGAAGCTAGATGTGTCATACAGCATCCGTAGTCTCCAAAACGATTACTTTCTCTTCTATAGGATTTGTGTTTGAAATACCACGTTTCTCTAATAATAGTTTAAAATCTATTCAAGTCAAAAAGCACAACAGCTTTTAAACTATTAAACTAACTACTTAAATACAGATTCAAATAATAAACACGTGCGTAAATACACATATTCTGAATTCTGATTTTCAGAATCATACCCCCGTTTACACTGCAAGGCAAAAGCGACTCCCGGAATTGCTTGTAATTAAGCAAAATTCTCTCTCCCTTGAGAACACATTCCCGTTCAGAACCTCCTGAGCTCCCCAACACGACTGGAGAATGCACAGCTCAGATCCCCCAAAAGCCCTGCCCTGCAGGAAGGGGACCAGACCCTACAGATGACTCAGGGCTTAGTAAACCCACGTTTCAGTTTGCCTTTTGCAAGGGTTGTCTCTGAGACAGCACAGTTCCTCCGGGCACTCTTGAATTCCATCAAGACCAGGAATGGCACCGTGTCACGCTTTGCCTTAACAGCAAGAATGGAGCCTGCAGGCTCACACCTGACGTACAGCAAGCCACCAGCTCTGGCAGGAAACCTGTAACCTCTTGCCTCTGCACTGATTTTATAGTACTTATGAGCGCTCAAGTTCCAAAGCAAGGTCTTCACTGCAGGCTGTCCTTCAAGGCTGGAAATCTTCTCACCTGCTTTAAGCTCTTCATTGGCTTAGGCTCTTAGGATAAAGCCGGATCCTGCTCTGACTGAAGTCTAGAAACAAGCTCACATATGAAACAGGTGCATTAAGCATTTCTAATGTTTGGTGATTAATGTCACCCTACGTGCATTTGGTTTTGGTGAAGCCACACGAGCTTTAGATCTGGCTGTGTGGGTTTCCAGGCCATTGTAACATGGGAGGCAAAAAACCCAACCAGCCAAATCACCCCATCACGTGCTTTAACTGTAAATGAAGCAGGAGAAATACTCTCAAATGTCAGCTTTGTATTATTATTTTTTTTTGAGAAAGCAGTACCATCTGACGATTTAAGAGAAACAAATTAGGTAAGAGCAGCTTTCTGTGCTGGGTGGTGGGCCCCTCACAACTGCTATTCTCCAAGACTGCACTAGGAGCCAAGCTGCCAAAGACAAAAAACGTCTTCTTTTCTTTCCTCCAATAAGGTTGCTCAGCAATCCAGGCTGCTCCATATTTCAGGCAAGACTTAACTGAAACAAATTCTTCATGTACTTCGAGAAAAATCTTCTTCAAATCCACAAGCATTCAGATTAACACCTGACAAAGCCAAGGGTGCAAACAACGACTGATTCACAGTCAAACAAGGGTGACTGAAGGCACCATTCCCTGTCCTTACAGCTGCACGAGGGCACTCCCCCCAGACTGTGCCACAGCACAGAACGCACAATTAAAGAAGTGGTAAATCTACAACTGATGCATGTTTTCAGGACAAAGCCAAACTTAGTCCCCTAATAATGCTTTTTTTTAATCATCATTTTCTCAAGCGTATCGATTCACCACTACAACGGGATAGGGTATCACACAACAGAACGGGGATACTCACACCACCCTGCCAGACAAACAGTACAAGGCAAATGCACTTCTGACAATTCAAGAGTCTTAGAAACAACAGAAAATACAACTTGTGAAACATTTTGTATAAAAGGGATGCCAGCATATGTTTAGATTGAGCTAAACTCTGAGCTGGTAATTTACAGGAATTCATCAATCCCGTTAGATCAGTCGTATTTAGAAAAACCATGCAAGCTGCACTTTAGAGGATTGAAAGCACACTTGGATACAATTACCTCTGTTCTGGACTGCTGTTAGGGGGCTGCAGAGCTGAAGGGGCCTCTTCTGCAACTTCTGCATTCTCTTCTACTACATATTTACAAGAAGCATCCTGCGAGGTAGACAATTTTCCTTCCTCACTTTAAAAAAAAAAAAAGGGAAAGAAGTTAATTTTAAAGTTTGCTTAACAGGGAAATCTCAGGCAACAGGAGAAAACTGGGAGACAGGTCCATATTTCACATGCAAATGGATTTTTAAAGTTATGATCGCGACATGAAGATCAAGCACCTAAGGAGGCACCTGGCGTTTACATCCATTACAACTCAACTGGATAAAAGGGCAGGAAATACAGTGATCACAAATAAGATCAGGAAAGAAATAAGGAATGTGTGATGCCTGAAGTGGTGACAATCACAGTCATGATCCTTTACTATACATACCGATAGGATTTCAACACTCTGAAGCCAGAAGTATGCAAAAAATAGGGGAAAAAAAAAAAGTATAAAAGAAATTCAAGATTCCCTCAGAAGCTGGCATTAGTACAGCTTGTCTACAAAATATATCAGCAAAATTGCTACCTCGTCGCCATCTTTAATAACCCCCCTAATAATTCCACGGCAAAATACGATGTACAGGTTACGTGAAACTACGGTTGTTTCATGAACTTCCTCTCAGAGTCAAAACCCAGCCCAGCTCGGTGAAGCAGCAGCACACTCACCCTACGTGGGATGTTGCCACACGGCTCAAAGGCATTAACAACCCCCTGTGCTCTGCCTCTAACCCAAAGCTGCCCCACCTCTCTGTTCCACCCTCTCCCACACCACTGAGTGCACGAAAATGCAAATTCGACCTGCAAGAGACAGTTTAAGGTAGCTCTGAAGTAGACGCAAAGATCAATCTCACACCTCTGTTGCAAACAAATCTACTGGTGCAAGAAGTCAGGAACGTTTTAAAGCCACTCTCCTTGTCCTATTCTTACAGTCCTCCTTTCAGTGGATCCTTTAAATTTCAACGAATCCTTCTCTTTCTTCTCATTCCTCCCTACATCTGCAGAGCCTGTAAAAATATTACCTTTCGCACTGCAAAGATCCAGTTTTCCCCATTTGACTGCCCCATCTCACTTGCCTGGATACTCATAGGTTTTGTTCAAAATAAACTAGTTGTTACCATCAGACCTGGTCTCCTGTATTTTTATTTTTCAAAAAGGGCCAGTCTTTACTCTCATTTTTTCCTTATCACTTATTTTGAGATAAGTTTAGAAACCACACTTTTGTCCTTTGCAGCTTTCTACAGATTAACTACCATGGCTCAGGATGCTGCTCCTCCCCTCAATGCGGGCTTCACCATTCTCCATTTTTTATCAGCAGAAATCTACAAAATATTAGGTCTGGAAACATCCCCTTTGCCAGGTACACAGGCCAGAGTGAAATCTCCTCTCGCTACTCTCATAGTCCCTTAATCTAGACTCCCTGCTCCGAGCTTTTTTTTTTTTTTTGATATTTATTCCAGAGGAAATACCACTTCTCTCCCCCGTGTGTTGCTGTGGCCCATTCAAGGGCTGGTTTAAAGGCAGCCATGCGAGCACTGACTCTGCACGAGGTCTCACACCGCCCTGGGAGTAGAAGAGCCTCCCCTACGGAACGCCTCACCTCTCAGCCTCCTTCCGCACCTCCTTAACCTCCACTTTCCAAACCAAGATCCTGGAGTCTCCGCTACCAGATGCAATCAGACAGAGTGCTAGGTTCCCTGTCCCACAGGAGGTTGGGCCAGGCGATCTTTGGGGGCCCCTGGGTGATTCTGGGATATTGCTTCCCTCTGCACTTCTGTGTCCTTGTAACGCCAAGGACTGACGTGCCCACTCCGCAGCTCACGCAGCCTCACTCCGTGAAGGCAGGCAGGACCTGGCTCTGCACGCGGCCTCCCTGGGTCAGTTTTTGCACCAGGATCAGAAGTCACAGAACTCTGAAGTGCATGTGAACTAGAGCAGTTTAAGAAGTGTAAAAGAATAAAAACAAAACAATGAAACCCCCTCATGGATAACTAAATCCAACCTAACTGTAGGAATGCATACCACACAAAAGCGTTCCCCAAAATACAGAATAAAATGGAGAGCAGCTGCATCACTTTCTAAGTCAGGAAGGCAGCAGAGTGCCAGGCAGAGCAGGCTGCATCGAGCCACAGTCGGCCTCTAAACCGCTCTGGTTCGATTCCTCTAACGAGGCCATTTGACTCGAAAGTGCTGTGAGACCATAAACGCTCCCTCCTCTGTATCAAAACACACGAGAATCACAGAATCCTCGACTGGCCTAGGCTGGAAGGGACCTCAGAGATCCCCTAGTCCAACCGCCCTGTCACGGGCAGGGACACCTCTCAACTAGACCAGGCACCACATGGGGACCGAGCGGGGAGTCAAAAAGAGATCAGAGTTTGAATAACCAAAAGGATGAAAGCAAGTGTGACTGAAAGCTGTTACATTCAATTCCTGAACCATCCAGAACGAAGTGCACTTATCTACCACCACTAACAGGACAAAGTAAAATGAATTTACAAGAAGGGAAACGTAAGGACTAACTCTGGAAAGTTTTTTTACTTAGACTGGGGATTTTTTTAAGCAACTTCCAAGACACATGGACATCTCCTTTTCAATTTCTAAAGCTATAATAAGGATAGATAGTAGGAAATTATTCTAAAAGAATGAGAAGAGCCCAAGTGCCAACAGGATGTTCTGATTTGTCAGGATCGGGACAACACACCATCTTCAAATAACAAAGGCATAATAATTTTGCAGGTTAGATTGTTTGAAGCCTCTCTTTTCCCACGTAATGATTTGATACTATATAAAACCCACTTGATTGTCCAATCTAACATCGTAAAATCTTAGTAGATGAGATCTCAAGTAGACAAAACAAACGTGCTTTATTCCCACAAAAGGATGCCCCTGTTGATAAATGCAATAGGGAATATAAACGTATTGTAAGACGGTTTTTCCTAAATTGAACACTTTGTACCAGAAAGTATCAAATGTGCCACTTCCAGGTGGAAGAACAGATGACGCCACCAATAGCGATCACCCCAAATCTCTGATGCGTTAACTCTCAGGAGCAGCGCCCGGCTGGCGTTCAGCTTCTGCCCTCCATCCTCCTGGACGAGAAGGATGGAATTCCAAACCAAATCTAACAATTCAGAGCAAACTTTAAAAAGTTTCGTTTTGGCGGGCAACTACGTTAAAAGAATAACGGTACATGGGAAACACACAATAATGTGCTTCCGGGTCAAAAGTTAAGACTCAAGCTTCCACTAACAATCTTCCATTGAAGTTCAGGCTTGATAAGGAAAGCTGTATGATACAGTAAATAATTGGAAATAATATTTCTAAACAATTACTTTGTAAGGCTTCTAGTTAAAGCCTCAGGAATTACGACTTGCCTAAGAACTCCTTCCTTCCTTGCCTAAGAACTCCTTCCTTCCTTGCCTAAGAACTCCTTCCTTCCTTGCCTAAGAACTCCTAAGAACTTGACGTAGTGTTCCGTCACCAGTGCTTATTTTATGAGGATGGGAAGACAATAAATACGTATTCTCACCTTTTGAAAACGGCCGTTTCGGTTTTAGCATCTACAGTAAGGCTCAGTGTTTCCTTCATGCTGCCGTTCATTACTGTTTCAGTTACCTTGTCTGCATTTTCTGCATCGTCCTCTCCATCTGAGTTGGCCTCCATGGCAACACCTCCTGGGGCTAGGGAGAGAGAAGTCATTTAGCACATGGCTGCCTACATTTCTATTTCAGGAGCAAGCCTACAAGCCAACGTAACCAGAACAGTATCTCTGCAGTTTTATAAACTTCTTGGATTCCTCCTTATGGAGAAAATCACTGTCCTGCAACCCCTACCATACACCCAGAGAGGGCAGAAGTACTTCTTACAGATGGTTTAAGGAAAAGTCACATTCCATAACTTTTTTGCAAATACTTAGTGATATAGATTGACGATGGTTACTACAACTGGTACACCTGAACAAGACTTAATTGCCGTAGCGTTCTTCCATACAGTCAAATTCATCACTAAGCCCACAGTACATCCTCAACAGCAAGTTTCCATTTCCAGACAAGCCTCATGAAAGTCCAGTCTCCCTAGAGCTCCCATCTGCATTTCTTGTTCTCTCTGTATATAAGAAATACGGAAAGCTAACTGGCCTTTAACCAGCTCACACATGTGCAAGAAAATTTGTACGTGTATCACAAAGGTAACTTAGGAAGGAAGGTGCAAGGCAGGGGAAATCTGAGCACGTTGAGGCCGCCGGCCTGCTGCCACACCGGGAGAGACCAGAGGCTGGCGCCCAGCGTCAGCTCAGCCAACTCACTGCTCACACAGTGGAGGATTCTCTCACAGACTATACTTAGCTTCGCCCTAACGCTCTTCTGTTCATGACGTACCTATTTTTTAGAGGTAATGGCAACACTGGCTCCTCTTTTACACAGGAAACTATTTTAAGGATTTCAGGAACTCTTTGACAAGTCATTTTCATTACCAGGCAGAGCAGCAGCAGGGCCAGATGAGATGTTTCCAGAAATCTATATTTTTTTTAAGTTCAGGGAGATCTTTCTCAATTACAACTCTTAAAATGTGTTCGCATTTCTGAATGAAGTGTACTTACTCTCTAGATGTGTTGCAAGAGCAGTTACGTTTGCACTCAAGGGATCAACTGGGTCTGCGTTTGTTTCCATTTCCACAGGCGAATTACTTCTTAAGGAATCTTTTGAGCTTAAAATGAAAAGTAAAAAAACCCAAACCTTTAGAGATACTGCGCAATAGCAGCCTGAAGTGTTCTTAAAATGTTATTAGTAGCTCTTTATCAAAGCTATGAGGCCTAGAGCCCTACTGAAACTAAACGACAGCAAGTTTAGGGAGGTACATTGCCTAGAAGTGTAGTAATGCAAAATCCATCAGAAGTGAGCAGAGGATGCATTTGGTGGTGGTGGTTTTATTTTCAAGCCTTTTACTCAGTTTGATGGCATGTAGTAACGGACACATCCCAGGTAAATAAGGCACACAAGTATCACTGGCTCTGTGTAGTATTTCCAACATTAACTGACTTTCTAAATGCACTCTTTGCATTTTGTTCTCTGGGGTTGTCTGCCTTCA